CGCCTCCCCCCAGGCGTTGAAGGGTGGGGTAGCCCGGCCCAGCAGGGCCCGAACTGGGAGCCTTCTTCCTAAGCAGCAGCACCTGCAAGAGCGGGAGGAGGAGCCGCCTGACATCCTGCACTCACACACCTGGGGTGACAAGAAGTGCTGTGGCCTCTCGACGACTCACATCTACCTGGGCATAAGCCGTCCAGCCCACGAAGCCTAGACACGGATTCGTCTGCCATCAGACTAACGCCCCCTCTCCCCCGTGAAACACGGAGCGTGCACGATCCTCTGGGGCTCTCTTTGTTTTGGGGCCGAGGTTCTGTTTCTCGCCGGGCCTGCGTGCCGCCAGGGGTGGATGGCGCTGGCTGGGGCCTGCGACGGGTGGTCTGGAAGAACATCATGCCGGGGGCGGATGGGCACCGGTGGAAAAGGCAGATCCGGTGCAGCGAAAAGAGGCAGAGGCAGCGAGGCGGACCAGCAGGGTAGAGCTCAGCCAGGGGCTGGGTTTGTTTTCTAGGGTAGATCTGACCAGAGCTGGTGCGTGGGGAGCTGTTCCAATCCCATGCTTCCCTTGGCTGCATCCCGGAGAGAATCGTCGCTGTCAGAAGCGCTCTCATTGACTGCTTGCAGTTCAGTGGCAGAGACACCACGGTCAGCAGGGGCCACTGAAATCACCTGGCACAGGCTTCCTGGGAAATATTCCTAGCGCAGAGCCTTGGGAAGAACAGCCAAGCTCCATTTCAAAGTGGCCGGTGATGGAGCATCCGACACAAACCTCCGAGGGCCCTTCCAATGGTTAATTACCCGCCCTGTCAAGAAGCCACTCCTTATTTCCAGTCTAACTTTGCCTGGCTTCAACTTCCAGCCATTGCGCCGTGCTGAGCTTTTCCCGGCTGGATCGCAGAGCTCGGGATCTGGCAGGGGTTCCCCACGCAGGGACTTACAGACTGTAGCCATGTCCCCTTCCCCCACTTACCTCCTCCCGGACAAAGGACATAGATTGAGCTCCTTGCATCAGGCAGGTTTTCTGATCCTTCCGTCATTCTCGTGGCTTTTCTTGGAACCCTCTTCAATTTATCGGCATCTTTCTGGCACTGTGGGTGCCGCATCCGGACACAGGTAGAATGGCATCTCTCCGCCTCCTCAAGATTCCCTGCATGTGCCTTGCAGGAGGCACTAGTCCCTAGGCTACTCTCACAAGGAGAGCGTGTGTTCTGCTGATTATCCATCATGAACCACACTTTTTTCCCCAGTCAGCCCCCCCAAGATACAGCCCTCTCCCCATCCCGTGAGCAAGCTCATGGTCTTGGCCCCTGGGTGTAGTCTGATATTTATCCACAGTAAAATACACACACTGTTCACTTGTGCTGAGCAGACCTAACAATTCATTTCGCTCAGCTCTGCAGTTATTTCCCACTCCCCCATTTTGTGTGTCAACTGCGACACTGCTCGGTGATGGTGTATCTTCCTCCAGGTCATCGATGAAGGTGTTAAGAACAGTGGGCCAAGAACTGATCACTGTGGACTCCGCGAGAAACCCTTGAGGATGGTTCCGAGGGACCAGTGACGTTCTGAGGCCCAGATGAGCCTGCTTTCTAAGGTATGCCGGGTTCGTATTATTGGCGGGCCCTTGGCACGTCTGCAAAGGAGGCCTGTGTGCTTATGTCATGCAAAGCAGCGGCCTGCTTGGACGCCAACTGCCCTTCCCACGCCGACCCTTTTCCCCGGAGTGCCGCAGCTGTGTATTTATTGCAGGGAGCAGCCCTGCGGCAGCATGCTCTCAGGGACAGTTACGAGAGACAAGACCCAGAAATGGCAAGGAGAATGCCTACAGACAGGGTTGGAAACAACATTGAAAGAGACGCTCGGCTGGATTGTTTTGTTAACGTCCTTTGCTTTTCCTTACGAATGCACAGATCAGGGATGCCGGCTTCCCCACCAGGGCTCCGTGGATGGGTGTCAGGCATGCCTGGGTGAGACGCCACCTCTAGGGAGAAGGCAGAGAGTTCTCGACCCATTGAGACTCTGACTTGGCTGCCACGAGTACCACGTGACACCCACCAATGGTGCTAGTGGTGTCTGGGACAGAGCGTGGTGTCTTATCAGCAACCCGCCTGAGCTATGTCACACGACTCACTGTACCACATCCTGCTGGCCAAGCACTTTCATGCTCCACGAGCTGCCTGCTGGGTTTGAACCCGTGACCCAGACCGGTACGGCGCCAATCCAGGCCCCTGCAGGAAGAGAGCTAACCGATGAAACCAATGCTTTGTTATTTTTCAATTTTTAAAAAGCCTCGCATCATCAATACCGGAGTCTCTTTGCCTTAGGCACCTACCCGTCAATTGAAAATGAACCCTACCCACACTTTTCCCCTCTGATTTTCTGCCTCTTTCTCTGCTCCTGTATTTTCCATGCCCACATGGCTTTATTTTTATGTGGCCAGGTATCAGCAAGAATCTCAACACTCTGAGATTAGCACCCTCTGGCTAACTACTCCTTGTGCAGCACGGAGGCATTACCACTCGCCTTTCCCCAAATGAAGAGGCTGATGTATTTATCTCTCACCTCAGGGACTGGAATGGTGCAGTCCACTATTTTATTCCCTAGATTCAACTGCTGCTTTCACTTACTTCAACTCCTGGTTAATTTGATCCTTCGTCTAATTCGATCAGCAGCTCAGGAGCACAGTCATTTGTGCTAACAGGAAGGCAGCTTTCCCCCTTTCTTTTGATCAATGCCGATCCCTCCAGGAAGCTATTACAGGATAATTTGATCATTGGCCGTAAAAAGCAGCCATTTAATTGCTGAGGGTCGGATCCTGTTCTGAGCTCTGCTGGTGCAAACTTGGAGTATCTCCGTTGTCAAATTCTTTGGGGGTAGATGGGGACACAACTCCGCTGCCTTGCGTGGGGTTTGTATTGCTGAAAACCAGATCAGAGTCCAGCCCTAAGGTTGGAACACAGTTCTGCAGTTAAAGAAGAAAGAAAGCAAGGAAGCCCATGAAAATAAAATAAAATAAAATTTTCAGGTATCTCAAAGGGTGTCCTGAGGACGAGGGAGAAAACTTGTTCATCTTGGCCCCTGGGGATAGAACAAGAAGCAATGGGCTTCAACTGCAGCAAGGGAGGTTTAGGTTGGACATTAGAAAAAAGTTCCTAACTGTCAGGGTGGTTAAACACTGGAATAAATTGCCCAGGGAGGTTGTGGAATCCCCATCTCTGGAGATATTTAAGAGCAGGTTAGATAAATGTCTATCAGGGATGGTCTAGACAGTATTTGGTCCTGCCATGGAGGCGGGGGGCTGGACTCGATGACTCTCGAGGTCCCTTCCAGTCCTAGTATTCTATGATTCTATGAAAATAAAATACAAAGGACTCAGGGTACGTCTACACTGCATCCCTAGTTCGAACTAGGGATGCAAATGGAGACAACCGAAGTAGTTAATGAAGCGGGGATTTAAATATCCCGCGCTCCATTAACATGATCTCGCCGGCGCGCTAGTTCGAATCACAGCTGATTCGAACCAGGAAGTGTGCGCCGGGACGCGTTAGTTCGGACTAAAGCCCTTAGTCCGAACTAATGTTACTCCTCATTTTTTGAGGCTGACATGTGCAGCCTACCCCATTCGACAAAAGACCTGATTCTGCAGGACACTGAGGGAATAGGACGGGGGAGTGTCTATCACAGGTCTCAGCATCAGCCCCCCCCCCTTACAGTCTGTTCCAAGAGACCCCTGGTTCAATGACTCGTTGATCCAAAGCCAGTTAAATCGATGGGAATCTTTCAGCAGATCTCAGCCGGCTTTGAGACTCAGACCCTGCCATGATGGACTGAGGAACTGGGCGATTTCTGCTCTCCCTCCTTCATTCCATGCTGCAGTGCGTTAGCGACACCTCGCTCTCCCCGCTAGCGCCCTGCCCCAAATGTTAGCTGGATTTGGGCATTATCCATAGCGGCAGTGTTCTTTCTGAGCTGGGTGGCCTCCCAGGAGAGATTCAAATGCTGCTGATTAGCAGAGCATCCACAGCATGTGTTTCTACTGGTGGTGCACACCCGCACAGGCCTTGGTGCACACAACAAAATGTATTCTGCACTGATTAGGCCTCCGTTGGAGTACTATGTCCAGTTCAGGGCACCACATTTCAGGGAAGATGTGAAGAAACTGGAGAAGGTCCAGAGAAGAGCAACACAAATGATGAAAGGGCTAGAAAACATGAACTGTGAGGGTAGGCTGAAGGAATTGGGCTTGTTTAGAAAAGAGAAGATGGAGAGGGGACATGAGAGCGGTTTTCAAGTATCTAAAATGGTGTTACAAGGTGGAGGGAGAAAAATTGTTCTCCTTGGCCTCTGAGGATAGAACAAGAAGCAGTGGGCTTAAACTGCAGCAAGGGAGGTTTAGGTTGGACATTAGGAAAAACTTCCTAACTGTCAGGGTGTTAAACACTGGAATAAGTTGCCCAGGGAGGTTGTGGAATCTCCATCCCTGGAGATATTTAAGAGCAGGTTAGACAGGCACCTGACAGGGATGCTTGGCCCTGCCATGCGGGCCAGTGACTGGACTCGATGAGCTCTGTCTGTGAATGAGAGGGAGCGTTGCCTAGTGGTGAGGCATTCATACATTCAGGTAATAGCCAGGAGGCAGGGGTGATGACCAGTGACCTCTCCCTGCCCCCTCCCCTGTGCAGAGACTGCCTCTTCTCACAGCCTAACTCTGCAGCGAGTTGTCACGGATCCACCAAGGTTTTTAGGCACCTAACACCCACTGAGAATTAGGAGCCCAAATACCCGTCAGGACCTGAGCTGCTGTTCTCAATCCCCCTCTCTGCTGCAGGAGAGGGCAGGATTGTACTGAAGAATGAAACAAGAAAACGTTATCCAAACACAGATCCATCACCTCTCCCCCTCCCCCAAGACCAACTCTCCAAGCTTTACAATGAGGTATTACAACCAGACTATACAGCAACATGGAACATCTCTTTAATGTATCGTCAGATACAACCTCCCCTGCTTGGCCCCCCCCCCCCCCAACAGGTCAAGGACACCGGCGGTCCTCTGGCTATGGGGCTATCTCCGAACCTTGATGGGAAGCACATGTCTTCAGTTTCATCCACCAGGAAGGGAACAAAATAATAAAATAAAGCAAGTTAATTTTCCCCATAGCCACACAAGTGTCCTAGAAACCAGCTGCATCAAAGGTGGGTGGTGGGTTTTGTTTCTTTTCTGGTTTACTTTTTTTTTTTTTAATTTGTGGTGGCGTTGTGTTAATGTCCCAAGCTGTGTAAAAAGGGGGTAATGGAGAATACTTGTTGTTATACATGGCTTCCCCTTGGAATATCCAAACCTGGAAAGAGACGCTGCAGCTGTTATTTCTCCTTGCTTTGATTGGTTGGTTGGTTTGGTTGGTTTTTTTTTAATAAGTGTCTCCAACATGTAAATAACCCAAGGGAAGGAGCGGATAAAATAATAGGCAGGAATTGATTACACAATCATCAATAAACTCTATCATCTCTTAGAAGACCAATACACAGCTATGTCCATATACAGCATGCAGTAATGGCAGAAGAAAGACCTTGCTGAGAAATAATGTGGCTAGAACGCTAACAAAAAATAATATATATATGTATATTTATATATACTGTATGTATATATATATATATCCCATAAAAAGAATAAGCATATCCATCCAACTCAACATACAGTGAGTATCACTGTTTCCAAAACAGTATGTAGACAGCCGAGTATCTTCCGTGTTGAACACCAGAGAAATGGATGAAGTTTCAATAACGCTGGTGGAGGAATTGTTTGTCAAACCATTTTTTTCCCCCAGGACTCGTTGACTGTTCACACCAATTTTGCAAAAACCCAAAGACAAGCTGAGATTGCAACCTCTTGCACACCTAGTTAAGAAGAACACTATTTGCGTGTTTCATTTTTAATGCTTAATAAACACACTTCTCTTTTTTTTTGCTTTTTTCATTTTGTTGTTGTTTTTTATGAACTAACAGTTCTAAGCTCATATCAGAAAATATAGTTAATAAAATTAATAATGAATCAGAATCCCTTATTCTCTGTGATGTCCGTGCGTCGTAGAATGAAGAAATGTTTAACCACTGGTTTGCTTTCTTCCTTTTCATTCGTATCGTCGTCATACATTTTTGCTTGTTTTTTAAACTAACACAAATGGCGGCACAGTCCATGAAAAGGAGGGGAAAATCTCAAAACAAGCTGCACATCGGCCTATGCATGTGCTGAAGCAGCCGACTCCGTAATCATCCATATGGGAGAGTTGAGCGGAAAGAAATGACCGAGCCAGCTGCCTCGGAATGGGGGCATGGGTGGGGGGGAGCCATTCAGCCAAATGTACTGGTTGGTCCTTAGTACCTGCACACTTGTCGGTTGCAGAAAGAAGAAAAAGAAAAAGAAAACGATTCAGCTGTGTCAAAATGTCATTGAGACAAAATTGGATTTTTTTTTCAAAAAACAAAAACAAAATGTTTTCCCCCTCTCTCCTCCACCCCCTCCCCCAGATTTCCTGGCAATATTTTCTTTCTTATAACAATTATTTTTCTTGTTTAAATTTTGTACTTTTTCTTCGTGTGGTTGCTGTTGTTGTCGCTACTCCGCGGAATCAGCACTTGGGTCAAAACTTAAGGAGCAGATGCAACAGCAGGAGGGGCAGGAGCCAAATGCAGCCGGCTCTTCTTGATGTGCCATTGTTCCCATCATGCACTGCGCCAGGACCTGCAAAGAGGGAGGGGGAGAGGGGAAAAGCCGACGGTGTTAGCCAAAGGTGTCAAGAAATAAACAAATTAGCCGTGGTTAATTCATACGCACACAAGGCAAGGTCTGCAAAAGTGATGCACGGCACCTCGATCTTTGGATGCCCACCTTGAAATGACTTAAAGAATGCAATGAAAAACCCGTGGCGGGCCCATGCCAGCTGACTCGGGCTTGTGGGGCTGTTGAATTGTGATGCAGACAATCGGGGTTGGGTTGGTGAGGGTTTGGGACCCTGACAAGTAGGAGAGTTGCAAAGTTTAGGTTGCAACCTGAGCCCAAGTTCCTATGCTCTAATCAAACATCCCCTTAAGCCCAAGTTAACTGGTGCAGGCCAGCCACAGGTGTCTAACTGATGGGTAAACATTTCCCTAGAGGTCAGAAAGAAAGTGCCATGTACTCACTTTCAGGGACGGTTCATGTGTTTCAAGTTAAGCACCAAAAATTTCTAGTGGCTTTTGAAAAATCATTGCCCAAGACCTCTGAGGTGGGGGAAAAAAACCCCTACTGGACCATCCGCTCCATCTCCTGAAGGCCAACACGGGTTTCTACCTACAACACATTCTTCACTGGTTTTCCACCACTCTTGTCCTGGAAGTCTCAAACCACGGTGTTTCTAGCTGTTCCCCTGAATAAATGATTCATTGTCTAATATATTGTACTGGTAGGAAACTTCTGATGTACAGTCTTAAGTTCCTTTTTCTTAGTTTTGGTCTGTGGGTCTCATTTCTACCACACTTAACAAGAGTTTCTAGTACTCACTGAAATCCACATAATTTATTTAAATGTATTTCACTCCTACAAAGGGAAGGCTTGTGGGAGATACCCCATTCTAACCACAAGTTCTAGTACAGGAATATCATCTCTGGCACATAATTGACCATCATTAAGCATGATGATCTGTGCATTTCTGTGTTTCACAAATCCAGTAAGGGCTCACTTCTCACTTCTAGGGCACCATGGCTGGTGTTTGACTTCAACAAAATTCCGGGAGCCAGCTTTGTGTGTTGGTTTATGGAAGGGAACTGGATGGTATCTGAAGATGTTGATACCCAAAGCTCTATGAGTCCTAGGCCAGATTTGGAGGTGGGGAGGCAAGTGTATTCCTAGATGTGTCCTGCAAACCTGCAGAAGAAGCTGTGGGCAGGTATGTCTTTCATATTTTCAGCTGGGAAAATATGCTTACAGGTGTGCCCTTCACATGGATTTGGTTACAGGGAAAATGTCAAGAATGAACTCTGATTCAAGCCACCAATCTTTGAGGCTAATGTTTCTATATATTTTGCTGGAGAGAAATGACATCCTACTGAGAATGGAGTGGAGAATGGAACTGAACATGCAGAGGTTGGACACAAGGTGGCCAAAGAGGAAAACTCGCCATTCGCTGTGCTAACGCGGTGCTGTTTCTTACCACCTCCTTTCCTCTTTGCTGGCAAAGTTAATTGCAGGAGCACTTATTTAGTGTCTTTGTGCCTCTGTGGTATGTCTAGCACTGCAGGGAGGCAAGGGCATATGAAATGCAATAAGAATGCAGAAGCAATCATTCTGTATCCAGATTGTCAATGGCGGGAATGTCATTTTTAAAGCAAGCAAAGGAACATGATGATTGTGCAGGGGAGATATAAAGGCCACACCAAAGAGGTCCCTGTTTTAGCAGTAGGCTCTGTTCTCCTATAAGTTCCTGTTCTACTTGTCTGACATCCCCATGGAATCATGGAGATAAAACCTGGCTTGTTAGATAGTTCTGCAAAAAACCCAACAACTTTTGACCATCTTTTGGACTAACAAGCTCTCCGAGTTTTCCACCTATTGCCTTTGCCAGTGAACCAGACAGCCTCAAATGAGAGGACACAGGAATGAGGAAGATGACGGCAAAAGATAAAATATTCTATTCCTGTCTCAGAGGCAATTCTTCCAGAGTGTAAACCCATGAGTTGCATTCTTCCAGCTGAGCTCTACCAAACGCGTCAACATGCACACAATGGGAGCCTTAGGGTACGTCTACACGACAACCTTATTTCGAAATACTCTCAAGCTGGAGGACTTCTTACGCTGACTTCTGTAACCCTCATGGTACGAGGAGTAAGGGAAGTCGGAGGAAGAGTGCTTGATTTCGAAATAAGCGCTGTGTGGATGCTCCCAATTTCGAAATAAGCAACGCAGTTGACATAGCTCAGTTTGCGTAGCTTATTTTGAGCTAAGCTCTGCTGTGTAGCTGCACCCCTACAGATGCGACTGGCCTAGTGGTTTGGATCTAGGAGTTGGCCCCAAACATTCCTGTGTTCTAACCCAAGCTCTGAGGCTTTCCCCTCCATGGCCTCATGCAATCACACAGGCCAAAAGGCTCAAAGGAGGCCACTGAGTCCCAAAATCAATGTTCCCCTTCTGAAAACATGGCCCATGGTTCCTTCCTGAGTTTTCCCCATCCAGATACATGGGGTAGCAACACTCCTCTATCACACAGAGTCTTGTGACGGCTAGTTCGTGTCTGGAAAGGCTGCAGTTCTGGTGAGCCAGACAATAATAACCATCACGAAAAGAAAGACACAAATTAAAAGCTGAAAACTTATGTGAGGGGCAGAATTTAGTGCTCCAAGATGTTAGAAGGGAGGAAAATGAGGACATATTTTGACCGGATAACTCATGTGTTCCATGCTATTTTCTCCCCAGTTTTCCAGAAGTCCTAGGCTCTATTGTAGTAATATAATAAAATAAATACATAATAATAATAACTAATAATTAATACATACCTTTAAAAATAAAGAAATGACAAAGTAGCTAAACACGCTGAAAAGATCCCAACATCAAGATGCAAATGTTTTCTACATGAGAGGGCTGATGGGGAAGATTTTCTGATAGGGTGATACTAGCAGCAGCAAGAAGTCCTCCTGACCCTGAGAAAACTAATGGGGCAGATCTTTAGTTGTGGGAATAACTGCTGGAGACGGAGGAACCCCAAACGGGCTTTAAATCACATCTGTGCACTCCTGGTTTTGGGGACTGCTTTCCCTGGCACCAGTTGCTTATGGGCCCAAGAGGCTATAGCAGCAACTGACAATAGCTGGGAGAGCAGAGCTATCATGTTTGCCACCAGCTCTGGGCTACCAGAACCAGGTTGGATCCAGCACCCTGGAGCGCTGAAAGCATCAGGGGCCCGAAAACTCCTCTGAACCTGCGGAAATTTCGGAGCAAGCTCTGGAGGGAGCCAAGGGCTCGGGGGGCGGAGGGGGATTGTAATGGAACCTTTGCTGGCAGGAGCTAGCACTGCTGCACGCCAGTGGCACTGCAGCTGATAAGGAGGCCAAGCTGTGACTGCTCTCCAGGTTTCATGCATTCATTACTTCCAGCTCATTAGGGAAACATGTGACAGTCCAAAGAGGCCAATTATCAAGCCCTGTAGTGTCCTAGAGAAATGTTACAAGCATCAATTATCCGCTGCAAACATCTGGGAGGAATAAGGCCCTCAAATGAGACAATTTTTCTCTGAATGTCAGTGAATCAGACCAGAAAATTCTCCTGATATTTGCGACAGCAAAAGGGGACAGAAAGGGAGCGAGGGAGGGAGCCACGCAGCATCCAGAGGGAAAGGCTGTGTAAAGATGGTCTCTAGAGCACAGAGTACAAGACGGGACAGGCGGCAGGGTTCTGGACACACGGCTGGCTACACCTCATCACAGGTGTATTTCTTGCTCCTAATTCTTCATTCTACCGACTTAGAACCCTGCAAGCATTAACGGGTGGGCTCCAGGGCTCTGCACAAGGGTTGGAGGCAGGGGCGCCACCAGGAAGTTAGTTGAATTGGAGCTAGCAGTGGTTTGCGGGACAAGAGGTGGTTACTTCTGCTCAGCTGATCCCTTGGCGTTAGCTCAGACACGGGAAAGCAGAAGTGGAGGGGCTGGCCACAGCAGGGAAACTAGCGTGTGGGGAACACATGTACTGACCTTTCCAGGGCGTCAGGACTGTAGTTGTCTCTTCTAAAAATTAAAGAACAAGTCACGGTTAAGGCGAATGGAAAACTCTGTTTAAAGGCAATTCAGTTGCTTCTTCCCCCTAGGGCACGTCTACACTGCAGGGCAAAGTCAAATGAAGCGACGCAACTTCAGCTACGTCAATTGCGGCTGTAGGTGCTGCCTCCACAGCAGGGCCGTGTCCAGACTCAGGGGTTTTTTCGGGAAAAGTAGCCTTTTCCCGAAAAAACTTCCCCTGCGTCCAGACTCAAGCCGCGTTCTTTCGAAATTATTTCGAAAGAACGCGGCTTTTCTTTCGATGGCGGTAAACCTCATTTCACGAGGAAGAACGCCTTCTTTCGAAAGTTCCTCTTTCGAAAGAAGGCGTTCTTCAATGTAAAGAGGCCGTCTTCGAAAGAGAGCATCCAGACTCGCTGGGTGCTCTCTTTCGAAAAAGCGGATTTCCTCTATCGAAAGATCCGCCTGCAGTCTAGACGCGATCTTTCGAAAGTGGCTCTTTCGAAAGATGCTTTCGAAAGAGCCTCTTTCGAAAGAAGCCTGCAGTCTAGACATAGCCCAGGAAATGGGAGGAAGGACACACTGCCTTCGGCTTCCCTTCCTCCTCCTTGAATGAGGGTTACAGGAGTGGGAGTAGGAAGTCCTCCTGCTCAACATTATTTCGACATAACGGCTAGCTGCGTAGACGCACGTTTTGTTATTCCGAAATGACGCTGCTGTGTAGACGTACCCCTACTGAGCATGCTCTGACTCCTATGCGACTGTCGGGGAGGCTGTCCCGAGTATTATTAAAGACGGGCCTGAGTCTTGCTGGGCTTGATTCCCCACGGGCTTGGCCCTGGTGCTGTCATCAGTCCCTGTGCAAAGCCAACGCAAAGCACGACCCCTGCACCTCTGATAGCATCAGATGTTCTTGCCAGCAAAGTGGTTTGATGGCTACCAGGCAGGGGAGAACCAGCCCTATAGCTCTGACCCAGAATTCCGGATTGTTACCCCAACATTCCCCAAGCTCGGGGGGAGAGGAGGGGTGCATAGTTGTCCTATTAGAGGCGGGGTCGTTTGCAAAGCCTGGCTCAGGATCTGACATTTCCTCAAGCTCAGGGGATTTGGTGAAGCCCATCTCCCATTGCTAGCCCCACAGTCCTGCCTTCCCTGTGGTGTCCAACAATCCTGGGAAGGAGACAGACCCATCAGTGCTTGCTGGAGGACGACTGTTGGGAGGATTTCAGACAGACGGCCAGCCACGCTGATTGGATCCAAGAACCCTGCCTGTTCTCTAGCACAATGAGTCCCGACGTGTTAATGGAAAGCATCTGCTGGCCCAGGACACAGCATTATCCTCACCAGGGCTAGGCTGTACTATTTTCAGTTGAGGGAAGTGCAGGCTAATGGTGGCAAGGGCTGTACTGCAGCGTTAGGTGCCTGTTGAGAATGCAGAGAAGAGCAGCGACGCGGATAACAGTCTCCGCCGAGCAACAGTAAGGCACTGCCGTGATCCCACACTGAATCTACGGGACTGAAGAACGATGGAGAGAAGATGGCGTAGAGTTTATCTTGGCTGGGACAAAAACGAGGCCTAGGTGGGCGGAGCTGGGGTTGTACTGAATCCTCCACGGTTTGATGCCAGACTCTTCCCCATGTGCAACGGAAGGTGATGAGGCTCCGAATTAGACAGGCGGACAGGAAGAGTGCACAGGACAACCTGCAGCACAGGGAACGGCACACCTCTGCATGCACTGTCCCTTTCTCCGAAGGGGTTACCAGCACTTGGGGTTACTAGTCAACTGTTGGGAGGCAGGTGTGATGGGGGAAATGAACCCAGGGTTGGGAAGTCGGGGGGTTCTGAGTTCTGACTTAGAATCGGATCTTATGCAAGGCACAGCAGCTCTCTGCCTCAGTTTCCCCAGGTATAGATTAGGGATGTAAAATTTCGATTAATCGGCTAATCGAATAGTCGATGCAATTTGCATGGACTATTCAATTAGTCGATAAGGGCGCCTCTGCCTTTGAAGATTAGCAACAGCCCCAGGGCCGTAGCTACACTTGAAAGGCAAAAGTGCCGCAGAGAGTATGGGGCAAGTGCACTTCTCTTCCCCGCTTTCTCTTTCTGATAGAGGAAGCAATGGGGCGGGGGGAGGGGCAAGCGACTAGTTGACTAGTGTGTCGACTAGTCATTCACATCCCTAATATAGATTAGGACTGGTGAATCCCTTGTCATGGGTGGGATTCGTTTAGTTAATAGTTGTAAGGCATTTTGCAAAAGCAAAGTATCATCATTTATTTTTAAATTGACAACTCGGGACAGACCCTCAGCTGGTGCACACCTGCATAACGCTGGACCTGGCCCTAAAATTAGACACTCACTCCAAAGATTTCAAGAACAGTCACTGTTTCTAGGTGCCTTTGATGTATTGGGGGCCTGATTTTTCAGCCATCCTGAGCACCTGCGGATCCCATTGATTTCTTCTGTAGCTCTGGGGTGCTCAGCAATTTGGGAAATCACACACACAGCACCCAAAATCAGAGATGCCCCGAAAGCAGTGGAAACTGCCAGTCTTAGCTCCGGCCTCTGATTTCAATCGAGTCCATTCCTAACCTTTAAATTAACGGTTGCTCTATTGGCATCAATGTGATGACACATGCCAGGTCTCTGCAGTGTGATGCACAATTGCAGAATCTAACCTTAATAAGAGGTTGATTTTATTACGGACTTGGTCATCATAGCTGGCAAAGCATGCAGCATGATCTGTAATAAAACTTAGAGGGCCATCTGTTTGAAAGATACATGGATTGTTGGTGTAGCAATGGTGTTCCATCAGGGTTGAATTTGGCCCAGAGTGTCTGAATAATGTGCCTCGGATTTGCACTTGTCTCTTATTATTATTCCCAGGATTTCCCTTGGGCTCTTTCTTTCTCTCTCCCATGCAGAATGTTGGCCCCAGCCTTATTAATTGCAACTTTCTAACTAGAATTATCTAATAATACCTGCCTAAAGCAATCAACATTGATCACAATAAAAGGTGGAAATTGAGGTTTTAGGAGATTTTTTTTAATAAAAAAAAAGATTTGGTTCCAGAGGTCTTGATAAATTAAAGAGAGAATCAAATTAGCAATTGAATTAAGTGGAATGCTCTGGACAGTATGTTAAATAATAAAAATAAACTGTGGTTTTTTGCAGAATGTATTTATTCAAGATTAGGCACAAAATAAGTCAGGGTCTCTCACCTGTTTGTAGGACTCAGTAAATAGACTGTAGGGCCAAAATGAGGATCAAAGAGTGAATTGGTTCGCTATTGCCTTTCTCTTTGTATAGTCATTTCCAATTGTGCAACGTGGTTTTAAATCAGTGCCGTTCTGCAATGGTCATGTTCATAGCCACCCTTTGTGCAGCTGTGGATGACTGTGGGAAATGATATTCTACATTATAGACACCATTGCTTGTTTTAGATTTACAGGCGGAACCTCTCTTGTCCAGCACTCTCTGGTCCGGCAACATGTGTGGTCCAGCGTGATTTTCGTGAGCTGAATGTTCACTTAGCATGGGTGTAGCCAACTTTCTCGCAATCCCATAATCTTTGTTTATACTTTACAACTGCTAATCCTGGCTCTTAGGGTACGTCTAAACTACATGCCTCTGTTGGCAGAGGCATGTAGATTTGTTTGTTCAGCAAAGGCAAATGAAGCCGCGATTTAAATGATCGCGGCTTCATTTACATTTACATGGCTGCCGCGCTGAGCTGACAAACAGCTGATCAGCTGTTTGTCGGCTCGCGCGCTAGTCTGGACGTTCCCCCTGTTGACATCAAAGCCCTTTGTCAGCAGCCCCGGTAAACCTCATTCCACGAGGAATAACGGGGCTGCCCACAAAGGGCTTTGATGTCGCCAGGGGGAACGTCCAGACTAGTGCGAGAGCCGACAAACAGCTGATCAGCTGTTTGTCAGCTCAGTGCGGCAGCCATGTAAATGTAAATGAAGCCGCGATCATTTAAATCACGGCTTCATTTGCCTTTGCTGATCTGTCTACTCTACATGCCTCTGCCGACAGAGGCATGTAGTCTAGATACAGCCTTAGTGTTCTGTGCCGTCATTTAGCTCTAATTTACCCCTGGAAGTCTTCTAAGAGCCCAGTGAGCCGTGGAAGTGTTGTAATACTGCTAGACAATATTGTCCTCTTGTGGTTAAGCAAATTCTCTAATTTGGCACCGGCCAGGTCCTGAGGGTGCCGGACTAGAGAGGTACAACCTGTATCGATAACACAGAGCCGCAGGGTTTTGGATCAATGTGCTAGGTACCAGACAGGATAGTGGTATGTAATCAACCTCCAAATTAAACCATAGTGCCTGGTGAGCTACTTCTTAAGTACCTGTCTGTAAAGAGTGGAAAGAAAAATCGTGTCGTCCTGGGAGACGTCAATTTAGGAGGCATAGGCTGCAGATTTCATGCAGCTAGTAATAAAGTATCATTAGAGCTTCTAAAAATTCTAGATAATAATTTTCTAACACAAAGGTAGTGCACCCAACACAAGGTAAGTCTATTTTGGACTTCATTATGACAGATAAAGATGAATTAATCACTGGACTGGAAGTTAGTGGTTGCCTAGGGACCAGTGATCAGACCTGAATACATTCAATATGGGCAAAAGTAGACAGTCCCTAACAGTAATATATATAAACTTGGTGCTTCAAAAGGGCTAATTTTCCAAAGCTGAGGAAAATGATGAGCAAAACTGACTGTGAAGAAAAAAATTAAACAATAAAATGTGAATACAAATTGAGAGCTATTTAAGAAGATTTTATTAGAGGGACAAAAAGTCATGGTTCTGCCATCAAGAGAGAGGACAAGTTTGTCTAAAAGCCCATCGTTGTTCAATGGCAAAGTGAAGGCAGCAATTAAAATTTA